TTAGAATTTATTGAAGGTAATCGAATATATAATTTCTTTTTCTTAACCTAAATCAATCCTTCTTAAAAGCTTTGCCCTACAGTTAATTATTCAAAAAGTAAAGGTAACATTTTATCTTCAAATTCCTTAATAATCCTTTCTACCTCTGTAGGTTCAACTTAATGGTTAAAGATTTAGGCTATCTTTTTATCTTTTTCCATTTGGAGTTATCCCCATATAAAACAAGTTTAAGAATCTATTGGTAGAAATGGATCAATATCTATATATAACACTTCATAAAGTTTTAGATAACTATTTTTCATTGATAATGGTATTAAAGTGGATTTTATAACATATTAGATATGATTGGATGATATACCAAGTTATTTAACTTTTTTCATACATTTTTTATTCCTGCCCTTACATAAATGAGCCAAAAGATTTACACATGATGTCAAGTAACTGAGAAATTATAATAATGATTTTTTATAGAGAATTTTTTCTCCTAATTCTTCTAAAGAGAATACTTCAAACTCAATATTTTCAGAAGGACGAATTAAGTGCAATTAGGATAATGATGGATTTTTTATCAGAAAATCAGCTAAGGCTTCTTCTCTGAAAAGAGTAAATGTTGGCTTTGAATGAGTGATATTAAATTAACATAGAAATTTAGTTTTTCCACTTTTTCCTTATGAAAATAATTCTTTGCATACTTTTTTTTAATATCGAATTATTCCTTGATTATTTGAATCAACCATAGCTATTGAAATAATTTTTAAGTATATTGTCATGTCATATATATTATTTCCAATTTCATTAAGTGGTTCCAGCAATTTAACCCAATCGGCTAAATCAATGTTTGGCTAATCTCTAACTGCCTCTCTTAATATAGCAGCCACTTATGGACCATAACTTCTGATTTATTAGCATAAGAATTCGTCATTATCTAATGCAATTCTTCTATTGATTTAGTTATTCTTAATTGATAACAATATTATTCTATATATTTAAATTGGCATGGATGCTAAAATTTTGAATGCAATATATGACTATTAGTAATTAAATATATATTACTGCTGATTATTGTGATGGAAGTGGGCGGTCTGTTTTATAAAGACGACTTCTATCTTTTTCTCGAAAAACCTTTTAGGATGTAAAAACTATATTGTCTATTAATTTTAATAAGGAGAATAATAGTTCTAGTATTTTTTATTCTCTCATAACTTTTTACTTTTGAGCATAATTTATTTAGGTGTTATTGTTTAATTCATGTTAATTTGGTTTTATTGTCAAATGATTATTAAGATTATCCAATTATAACTGCAAATGATATACTTCTTGTTCTAATTATGGTTTCTATGATAAGGATTTTAAGTAGTCAAATAAAACAATATCATCATTTTATTTACGTTTATCTTACACAATTGACCATTATTATAAGTAAACATGGAAATTGAGGATTCTCATTTAAATTTCATTAAAGTCCTCCAAAATATTTTATGATTAAAGATCAATAGATTTAACCGAAAATAATTGAGGAGATTGATCAGTGGACACTTATTAAAATTAAAATTTGGCATTCTAAGTTAAGCTTAAATAAGTTCCTAAACCACTTTAAATACTAACTATTTATTCATTAGACTCTTATTAACCAGTCTATTCAGGATTTATGTAAAATACACTATAATCATCTTAAACATATCCCGAAGTCAGCTTTAATCTTTTCTCATCATTAGGGTCTACAGTTAAATATTATTAAGTGAAAAGAGATTTTAGTTTGCAAGCATTTGGTTATTCCAATTATTCAGTAAATGGATAAATTGGCTAAATTTCAAAATATGTATAAGAATTAAGTAAATTGCTTGATAACGCTTCATACTCTTATACTAAATATTTGTTAAGATCAAGGGTTCTTAATGCAAATGATTCCTATTATGATTATTACTAATCATTAGTTCCACTTGTAATTAGAGCAGTTTTATTTGCGATAAATGATTATAGCTATTTTTCACTTGTTCCAACAGCTATTTATGATTGCTAGTGAATTATTTAAACAATATTGTTTTGATAATGCTTTACTTTATGAAGATGAAAACTATCAGGACAATCACTTGCATTGATATCAATAAATTTATTGCTTGAATATCTCGATTCATCCTTTTCCAATTTTAAATAATATTACCTATTTGAATCTTATTAAAAGAATAATTAATCATTATACTAAATTTTATCTCCTACTTTCTTTGCACTTGAACTTGGCATTATTCTCAAAATATTCTAATGTCCTATTTGAGATGATAGATTAACTGAAAATGACCCTCTTTCTTAAGATGGCATATCCAAGTTAATCATCACACTTAATTTTGACTTTATATTCACTAATACTATCCTCTAACCATAACAAATATGACTTTAATCATTTTTTATTGTTCTTGGATTTCGAATTGTAAAAAAACATTTTTGTTAATGAGAATATGGATTATTTATTACTTGATTTGACATATTCACACAATTTATAGAACCAGAATATTTTAAATTTCCTATTAATATCAATTCATGAAACAGTACATCTGATTACTTCCCAGACATAGTTACATTTGTTTTTATTACAAATACATCACCAAATTTTAGAAATGGATGCTCTGATTATCTATGACTTTAAAACTCTTATTATGGATCTCTATTTTAAATAAATGATTTCTTTTTTAATTTTGTTACTTCTTTCTATACAGATTAATTCACTGATACGTCATTGTCTAAAATCTCATCATTTTCTTATTATCTTAAAATATCCTATTTCGAATCTTTATTTATACTTATTAAGGAGTTGTTGATGATCTTACTTTTGTTTAAAGAAATGTCAATTATTTTGATTTCTTAGACTCTTATTCAAAATCTTCTCTTTATTATATTTAAGCTTCCTGATTTGATTATTTCCCAGGATATGAGCTAATCGCTTATATTAATGTCGGGGATCTATTCAAATCCATTTAATGAGTGTTATTTTGTTTTAGTATTCTGAATGCAATTTTTAGTGCAGCAATTTTTATATGTTCGACACCTTTTTTACAAGATTGTTATGCAACAAACGAAATGCTCATGTAAGTTTCGTAAAATCAATATTTTAATATTATAAATTTGCATACCTTTTAATATTTTCTTAAAAAAATGTATTTTTAATTTTATATTCATTTATATTGATATCTAATGGTAACTATATAATAACAATTTATAATCATTCCAACTATTCTTTTAAGTCAAAAATACACAAAAAGTAAATATGTCATTACATATATTTATGTTTAATTATATATATAATTATAAATTATGAATCAATATAATGATTTAATCATTAAATGCCCAAATCCAGAGCATTCAAATAATGTTAAACTAATATGCTTTGATGAATCTTGTAAAGCTGATAGATTATATTGCATGTAATGTAGTAGGAATGGAATTCATTAATCCCATCCTCAACATCAATATTAATTGCCAAATTTATTTGATCATATTGAAAAAATTGATAAAGAGTGCGAAGATTTAATTAACAGGCTGAATAAATAAATGGACTTTGTTTATCAATAATTTTATCAATTAATTGGTGGTATCAAAACTAAATATCAAATAAATAAAGAATAAATCTTTAACTTAAATTCCAAATAAATAAATTCTATCCTAGCAGAAACTATACAATTCAAAACATTTAGACAAACTATTGAAATATTAATTCAAAAATCATCTTCTGAACTTTAAGAATAAATATAAAAATTATATTAAGAATTATATTTAACTTAATTGAATTATTATCTAATATCTGATTAGGATATCAAAAAATCCGAAGAATTATATTAAAAAGGTATAAAAAATCATTTTTTAGGGTATAAATTATATTGGTATGATCATAAATATGAAGAAGCAATAGCAATTCTTGATTAAGCTTTGAGCTTAAATCCTAAACATTAATTAGCATTATGGTGCAAAGGTAGTATCAATATTGTAATTTGTTAGCTGAGAGTTTAAAAATGCTAGATTAATATAATGAAGCAATAATTTGGGTAGATAAATCTTTATAAATTGATCCAAAACATTTCAATTCATTATATACTAAAGGTAGAATAATCATTTAATTTTTAGCTGAAAGTTTAAGAATGCTTGATTTATATAGTGAAGCAATAATTTGGGTGGATAAAGCTTTGTAAATTGATTCAAAAAATTGCAATCTATTATTTACTAAAGGTAGGATTAAAACTTATAGTGTTAGCTTCTAGTTTAAGGGGACTAGGTTAATATAATGATGCAATTATTTGGGCAGATAAAGCCTTATAGGTTGATTCAAAACATTGTAATTCTTTATCAACTAAAAGTAATAATCTTATATAATTAATTGGTATATCACTAAGAATGTTGAAAAACTATGAAGAAGCCTTAATTGTAATCGAGTAATCGCTTTAAGTAAATCCTAATCATTTGGATTCATTATGGTCAAAGGGTTAAAATTTTCTGTAATTATATAGGTAAATGTTTACAAGATTAAAATTAATATTAAGAAGCTTTGATTTGCTATGATAAAGCATTAAAAATTAAAGAGAACCATTAATGGACAAAAGACAGAAAAAGTAATAATATCAACACTAATATTAAGATGAATGTCTTGAAGCTTTGAAAAAGAAATGAATTTATATTCCTATATTTATATTTACCCTTAAAAAATTCAGCATTTACTTTTAAAACTAAAATCCAAATCAAAAAATTGATTAATTAAAATATTCAAGGACAGAAAACTTGAAATTTTTGTAATTTGATACACTTTATAAAGGTTTTTTTTGAATCGTAAGGACTAAATTAAATTTAATTGTTCTTTTTAAATAATTTTCAAAAAAGTGGGTTGCTAATTCTTCTTAATTAAAAATTAAAATTTAATAATATATAATAGGAAAGATATGAAATCTATTCACATTAGGGATCAAATACGTTTAACTTATAGAATATTTTATCTTGATTATTATCATTATTCATTTTTATCAATTCCTTATACTGTACCTACTCCAATGGCTGACAGTGCAATGGCTCCGATTCCAGTATTGCTAATTCTTATGCTCTAGCAAATGCAATTCCGAATGCAACATTTTCAATGTTGGCTTATGCAGCTGCTGCAAACTTCCTGCAACTGGTCCTATGGAAGAATATCAATAAATTGCTAATTTAGCTTCAGCTACAACAAAACTAGTTCCTGCAACAAGTGCGGTTATCAAACTTCCATTCTGTATATTCTGTAACAATCCAGGTTCAGTTGGTTGGTCTTCTGGAAATTAATTCATAATTTAAATATTATTTTTATAATAGTTGATTCAACTTTAAATCAATAGGATGCAATATGTTTTTCAGATTCTAAAAATAAAAAGAAATTTAAGTATTTTAATATATAAAAATGAAAATTTAAACATATATCTAATTTAATTCTAATAATCAACAAGCTTTATTTAAAGTATAGTTTTAACTTCTGATAATTAGAATTGAATATTTTTAATTTTTCATTAATTATCAAGATATGCTAATAGTTTAATCTAAATTAAGCATCGAAAGACAAAAATCAATAAATTATGACTATTCTTAAAAATAAATTGGTATTAACCAAACACAATAATTTAAGAAATCATAAAATTCATTTGGTTTAAAAAACAAAAATCTAGAATGTATATATGGATATATTCTTAATGAACTAACATGTTTAGAATTTTGAAAATCTCAAAAGCATAAAAATATTATATATAAATAATTGATTCATATTGCAATATCTTTGAAATTAAACAGTACTTTAAACTTCCATATTATTAATGATGCTTGAATTAGAAGATTTGATTATATATTTGGAATCAATAATAAAATTTAGCATTATAGAGTTTGAATATTTGATTAATCGCCTTCAAGAAAATTATGTAATTTATTAGAGAGGAGAAGTCGATAAATGAAAATTTAAAATTTTTATCTAAAATTCTTAATTTAATAATAAACAATCATTATTTTAATGTTATAATTAAAGCTATATTTAGGTGATCTCATATTATACAATAATAAAAATTAATCTGATGAAAGATCAGAATTAAATGTTGATATAAATGTAAAGCGAATTGAAATCCTTTGAGGAATTTTTATTTATTGATTTCATCAATAATAAAACTAATTGAATTCCTTTAGAGTTAACAATGTAATTATAACAAGGATTTATTTTAAATCAAAGATAAAAATCATAAGAGAATTTATACAATGAATAATGATCATGCTCAATAACCAAAATATTAAGAAATAAATTATTGAATCTGGAAAAGATAATTGAATTATGCAATCTTTACAAGTATTTTCTAACATTGATTTAACTGAATCAATAAAATTCATCAAATCAATGAAGATGAAAAGTCTTGAAAATTATTATTATATAAAATAAGAATTTTTATAATTTTTTATCTTAACATAAAATATTTATGTTATATTAATTTCATAAAACAGATATATTGTTTTTATAAAGATAAGTAACATTATTATAAAATGATAACAGAAAATTTTTCAGTATGAGCTCAAATATTCATAGTAATAGCACAAAATTTATCCAAATTTAATAATGAATAATATATTAAACCTTAAAAAACTTTTAATAGTTTGATGCTGGTAAGACTTAATGATTAGATAAGGATCATTATCTAAATATAACATGGATATCTATTCTATTTATATATTTAATTATTTAATTTTTCAGCTTATTCTCATTAGTTAGTTGTTCTTAATTTATTTTGTTTACCCTTGAGAATCTCAATTACTTTTTTATCTCAATTACTTATAACTGGTAAAATAGAGTAGATTTAATTGATTAGATATTTCCATTAATGTCGTTATCAAATTATAATCTTACAATAAATTGATTTGATTTTCTGTACAATACTTATCTGCTAATTTCATTAATCGAAAGATTATCAAATAGAGAATAGAATTATAAATGACAATCAAATATCAATTTTAGATATATAAATATCTCAATCAATAATTTCAAAAAAATACATATTTATTCTAAGATTGATATGAGGTAGATTGAAATGTTGTTTTCTTTATGTTTTAATCAATTAATATACTTGATTATATAAGTCTTGATAATTAGACAAGAAAGCATAAAATTAAGAGAGATCTATAATAAAGTATATTTCTGAGCTAATACTCATTAATTAAACTTTTTTAATATAAAAATAATGAATCAAAAATTATTATGTCCTTCCCATAATGAGTTGATTCAAATCGTTTGTTTTAATAAAAGCTGTTAATCATTTCGATTTGGTTGCTATGAATGTTTAAAAAAGGAACATCATCTTAGTCATACTAGAGATTTGAAATCAATATAGGAGTTTTATGAATATTAATAACTAAAGCAAAAAGAATACCTAGATTTTGCTTAAACATTTTAAAATTATTTTGATAATACAATGAATCTATTCAATTAAATAAGAAATAAACTATCCTTTGTTTAAAATACTAAAATTGATACTTTGGATTAAATGAATGATGTTTTGAGTTTGTTTTTACAAAATCAAAAAAATTAAGATCAATTTTCCTCAATAATGATGGATATTTAGAAAAAGTTGATATCTGTATTGTAGAATTTCAACGAAAATCTTATTGAGCCATAGATTGATTTAAGCTAATAAAATCCAATTAAATAGGATACAAAATATTAATTAATCTAAAATATAAGAGAAAGTCTTATTTACTCATTTTCATTCAATCACAACTCTTCTATGTTTGCTGCTGGTTATTCAACAGGTTAAATTGCTGTGTTTGAATTGGAAATAGAATAAATTAGAAAACAGTAATAAATATTAAATGGTCACAAAGGATCAGTTTATTCTTTAGAGTTTTTTAATTATAAAAACTGCTTCCTCTCAGGAGGTCAAGATAGGATGATTCTTATATGGGCTTTTGAAAGTAAAATCTGGATATGTTAATAAAAAATAGATGCACATTCTGATTGGATCAGTCATATTATTATTAATAAGAATAATAATCTAATTATTTCTAGTAGTGGAGATAAAACTATCTAGTTTTGGAATAAAGATGAATAATGGAAGTGTTGTTAAACTATAACTGCTCATTTAAACACTGTTTGTAGTTTAAGTTTAAATGAGACTGAAGATTAATTGATTTCATGTTCATGCGATAGTACAATTAAAATATTTGAATTTAAAAACTCAAATTGGATAATACTTTAAAACATTAATGTAGAAAAATTAGGGTTTAGATTGTGTTTTATTAATAATTTTACTTTTGTTTTTTAATCTGAAAATTCATTAAATTTAAGTGTCTATAAATTCAATTAATAAGATGGTTTATATCATTTTACAAAAAATGTTTAAGTATAAAATGGTGAAAATTGCAGTAATTTATTCCCATAGAAATTTATAAAATCAAAAAATATTATTCTAAATAAAAATGGATCAAAAGTTAATCTGATTAAAATATTGCCTGATGAAGAATTTTAACTAATAGATGCTATTGATTTTAGTACTAGAAAGATATTTGGTAATATGTCAAATGATGGTCAATACTTATGCACATGGGATTGGATTTCAAAATAGATATAAATAAGAAGATGCATTTAATGACATTTAGTATATTAAGAAATTATTAACAATTAATAAAAAGATGATCTAAAATTTCCAGCAATAAATTAAATACTAAAATGATTCTTTTAATTCAGTTATACATAAAAATCAGAAATAAAAAAATAGCTTATAATCTATATTATCATCAATCACATATTTTTTGTTCTCTAATTATTAATTTTTGATATGTTACATTTTCAAATTTTCTTTATTATTACATTAACTTATTTCTTCCATTAATCAAATAACAATACAGTATTTTATAACCTTAGTTCCTATTGAATTAATTCAAAAATAAAACCTATAGAATCTATCGAATTAATCATCCCAATTACCATTCTTCAAATTTTAATCATCATAAGTTCCACCACAACTCAAAAATTTACTCAAATAAAAATACATATTATGAAACTCATTTTTTATAGAAGATCTAAATATATATCTTATCTATCTATCTATTATCCATTTAAATATAAACCTTGTAAATGACTTCATTCCAACTAATTTTAATAATTAGAATAAAACCTCCAAAAACTTTCATACAATTCTATACAATAACCATTTTTCACACCTGAATCACTATATAATCCACCACCTCTAACATATTTATCTATATAATATATTACTCACATCATTTCAAAAGGATTATTACAATTTTTGTAGTAGATTTCCCATTTTCAAATTTCTTTATCTTTTTAATATTCTCCATAATAAGTGGCCTCTCTTTTAAATCTATTATTATAAGAGATTATTAAAATTTCCAATAATTATCACTTAATTCGAACCAAATGCTGTTTTTAAGTCCTTATTCATCATAAGTTCCATAACCACTAAGAACTACTAGTAAAAATATATTTATACATTTATAAAAAATATAATCATTCTCTAATTTAATATCCCATTACCCAACTTTTCTTCCATTTTTATACCGACCTTCATAATTAACATAAACATCACTATTATTAAAAACTATTTTTACAACCTTTAAAAATTTTCGCTCTACTCAACCCATTTTCCATTTTTCAACCCTTAGACATTATAATTACCAAATCCACTATGATTATTTAATAATAATATATTTACATCAATTAAAATGGCCTATTACTATATCTCTAATGAAGAATATCCCCAATACTATATTTCCTGCTATTTTTATTCACATCAGAATATGATTTAGGTTTCTCTAAATATTAAATTGTGATAATTTAAAACCTTCACATAACTCAACCCATTTTCCATTCTTTTGACCTTTTTGGTCATATATCTCCTAACCCCTAAAAATTGCTTTTTGAATTTATCATTTATATTAATTCTAAAGACTGATAACCTTTCTTTTTAATCCATTAAGGTTAAGGAAAGATAGCTAATCTTATTCTATTAATATCCCATATACCAATTTTGTTGCCATTAATATATTTTCCTCAATATGTTATTTAGTTTTCCCTAATAATATATCCATATTAAATCTATATACAATTAGAAATAATCGCATAAATCAATCCATTAACCGCTTTTCTGACCTTATTCATTATAAAATCCTCCCCCACTTTGAATATCTATTATAAAATACATCAATTTATTTTCATAAATGACACTCCATCCCTGTTCTCAAGTTATTAATATATTCTCCTTCTTCATAGATTCAGGCTTTGCTTGGTGTGTAAAAATAACTAATACTGTTAGTAATTCTTAAATACTTCTTTCAATTGGCCTTATTTCATTCCCTTTTCATACTCACCATCTACATTAAATAATATATCATTTTTCTCCAAATTTTTTCATATTTTTATACTTTCCTTCCCATTATAAATGTGTAAATTGTTCTAGATTAAAGGGAATTTCTGGTTTTCATTAAAATATTTTGAGAAAATATCACTAAATGTTGAAGATAAAAGTCATTACAATCTTATTATCTCTCCATCTGAAGTTATGAATTAGACTTCTTTATTTTTTATCAAAACGATTTTTAATTTTCGTTTGTCTACAGATTATTCGAATTAATCAAAATATTCCTGATATCTTGTTTCATTTTCTTCAACAAAAATTCATTTCATGATTTTTTTTAAAGTATTATATAATTTTATATTCTGATAGTTGTTATTTTACAATCACTTGATTTCATAATAATAATTTGCATAAACATAAGAAATAAATAAATTAAAATTTCAATTCAAATATTGATGTAAGGAAGAAATTGGTCTAACGATCATAGATTTGAAATAAATTTCCAAGATCTCTCTAAAATATCTAATATCTAAAATTTGGAAGGAATAAAGTCTCTTTTCTTAATTATTGAATAGTAATCCAAAGTTTATTGAGAATGAAAATAATTAGTAATTAATTGAAATAGATAATATGGAACTTTAGAAAAATGACATAATAAATCAAAATAATATTCAAATTAAATTATTAATTGACTATATAAAAAATGAATATTATTGAAAAGAGTATGATAAAATGATAAATAAGATATAGTTTCTTATTTGATCATAATTTCATAACGTTTTAGTAATCATATGATGATATTAGCAAATTGATTAATAAAATTTAGTTAATTAACAATATTATGTAGATTTCACATAAGCAATTTTTTAGTTAATAATAATAATTAATAATAATCATATAATCCGGAAAAAAATGTTAATTAATTAATCAACCATCAATAAACAAAAATCGAGAACAAATAATATGACATACATTTGAGTAATCAAATAGAATATATATTAAATTATATTATAATTCTTTAAAATATGATGTTTGACTTAAAACACTTAATTATTTGATATAATAATAATATAAAGAGTTAAAATATCATATTCTATATAAAATAATTAAATCAAAAATTATTTTTCTAAATAAGTTTAAAATGATTCAGAATGTGAATTAATATGATTTTGAAATATGTTAGATTCATAGAGAAAAAATAGTTTACATTGATAAAGAATAATCAGATTTATCAAAAAGGGCCCTTTGCAATTTATGTGTTGCTGAATAGGAGAAAAATAGAAATCTAAAAATGATAGATAATATCAAAAGTTAACTATATAATTTAATAGAATAATTAACTTAGAATAGAGATACTAAAACATATTAAAATATTACTGTGTTGAAAGATTTGCATAATTTTTTACATTAACAATAAGGGAAATTTTGTCATTAAATAGAAAAATGTTAATAAAATATAATTAATTAAATCAGTCTATTATAAGAGGCTAATTTATAATACAAAAACAAAATAAACCTAATAACAGTACATGATTTGAATTCTCCAGATAAAATAAAGTCTTAATTAAAAAAAGAGATTATTGATTGCAAAGGTGTTTAAGATTATTTAATAAAATAAATAAATGCTTTTGAAGTATTTTAGTTAAAGTAATTATTTGAAGAAAAAATATAAAAAATTGATTTTGGTGATTAAAATTTAGAATTGGAATAATTATGTGATTTGGAATTAGTGAATAATGAATAATAACAAAAAGTTAATTGGAAATGTGATCAACATTTAGAAGACATTATGTTTATAGATTTGGGATATTAATAAACAATTCCTAATAGATTGGCATGTAGAAAATGTGTTCCAAATTATAATATATAATTTACTAATGTAGAAGATTTATAAATATTATGGCGAAAATATGAATAAGATACTGAAAAATAGGTTTAGATTTATTTAAATTTTTAAAAAAAAATTAATAATTAAATTATGAAAATAATAAGATAACTTAAGATTGAAATAAATACCCAAATTGATGGATTAATTTAATTATATCAAAAATCACTTTAATTTAATATATATGATTCATTATACAAACCATTTACATTATTATAGAAGGATTGGCAGACCATTTCAAAGGATGAAATTATAATTATAGCAGATTAAATAAGTCAAAAAAATAGAGATTAAATTATTAAATTAAATGTAAGAAATGAATTCAAACATAAAGAACAATTTTAAAAAAATACAATAGTTACTAATTTATAAAAAATTTTAAATCTAATTAATGCATCACTTTCTGAAATATAGAATACAAATCCTAAAGAAAATATTCTTGATCTCTAAAACAAAAATATCTATTAAATTAGAAGGCCAAAAAATAATTCATTTCTTGGTCCTGCAACAACTCGTAATGAAAAGGTACTAACAGAAAATTCCCCAACAATTAAAAGAGAATTTAATTTTGAATCTAATCGAGATTCTTTTGAACTTGAATTTATTAATCAAGATTCTCCCTTAAAAAAAACCATTTCTAAAATGAAATCCAGTTTTAGATAAAATTGGGTCAAAAGATTATAAAAATCATTATAATATTAGATAATAAATCAAATAGATGAAAATTTATCAACTCTATCAGTAGCAATTAATTCTTAATCTTCTATTTTAGTTTTGGGATAATATTGGGGAGAAATAAAAGTTTTTTCTTTTAATGATGGAACATTAAAATTAATTTAGGTTTTATAAGAACATACTTTAAATGTTAAATGTCTTTATTTTATGAAAGAATCCTCATCATTTCTATCTGGGAGCAATGATAAATCCATAATTATTTGGGAGGAAGATTTAGATAATAAATGGTATAGTAAATAGAAATTGATAGGTCATCAAGGATAAGTTTAATGTCTCATAATGAATCATTAAGAAAATCTAATAATATCAGGCAGCTAAGATAAAACAATAAGGTTTTGGGTAAAAGAAAGTGAATGGTAGTGCCAATAGATTTTAAGTGCACACGAAAATAGTGTAAGAAGTATTAGTTTAAATAAAGTTGAAGATCAATTAATATCTTGTGCAGAGAATGAATTAAAGATATTGATTATCTAACTTTAATATGATTCTAAAACTTGGGCTATAGTAAATGAAATTAATGTAGATTACTGCGGTTCAGGTTTACTATTCATAAATGAAAATATGTTTGCATACTAACCTTCTAGTATAGATTAGCTTTATCTCTTCAAATAACATAGGTCTTAGAAAAATTAGTATGTCTTTAAACAATAAATAAAAATTGAAACTGGAGATATATGTACTTCTTTATTCCCTCTAATGTTCATAAAATCATAATCTATTTTAATGACGAAAAATGGTCGATATATTAATATTATTAGAAAAGATAAGTATGATGAATATATAGTAGAATAAACATTTGAAAATGTTAGTAATTGTTGCGGAATTAAAGGAACCTTGACATCAGATGGGGAATTCCTTATTATATGGGATGGAAAATTTAATAAGATTACAGTAAGAAAGCTTAAAGAGTATTGATTATTTTATTTTATTTAACACATTTTAAACGAATTATTCTTGGTTATTTAATAATTTTATTGTTAATAAACATTTATGAAATCCTTAATTATTGTTTTTGTTTATGCTTAATATATTTTATAACAATATTTTACTACAACTAAATGAAAAGGTTATTATTCAGTTTTAATTTTTAGAGCTTTAGTAGACTTTTAAACTTAAATATTGTCTAATTAATACAGCTAAGAGATTAATGATAATGAATTTCTTAGAGAAAAAGTAGAATAAGTTATTTAAGTTGATCCAATTACTTAAACTACTATGTAAATTAATATAAATTTTGAAATTGATTTATTTTTATAATAATATTTTAATTTTAACCAAAACATGTGATTAGCTAACAAATAGAAATATAATGAATTTAACTTTAATAGGGAATTTTTATAATTATGAGAACTAAAGTATATAGAAATGGAGAATTAATTAGAAAATAGAGGTAGTTCTCACATAAAAAGCAATAAATAAATATAATAATTGAAAAATTAAAATATTTGTTGTGATATATTAATGAAAACAAACTTCTCATTTTGGATTATTAATAATGCATAATTTAATTTGAACTGAAAAGAAAAAGTAAGTATAAATGATTTATAATAATCTATTTATTTAAAATGTTTTTCATAATAATCGCAAATATACTCTCTTTTTATTTAGCACTATTCCAATTAATTCTAGTTATATTAATTATAGAGTAGTGCTTTGGTCCAAATTACCAATATAATTATATTTTCAATACCCTATCTACAAATAGTTAATAATAATTTTTTTATTTAAAAATTAAATTAGATAAGTATAACTTTATTTGATCCTTTAGACAATTACTAATAAAAGGATATGTTTATAGAAAACTAAACTAAGTAGTGTAAAGATGAATCATAAAATTTTGATAATCAATACCAAAAATTACAATGGTTTATAAAAATAGATCCTGATTTGTTACATTCAAAATAATATTATTTAAAAAAAGAGACATTATCTAAAATTAAAAAATTTCTAATTATAATAAAAAAGATGAATTGTTGAAAAATTTTGAATGGTCTATTTAGTTTCAAAATAAAAAAAATCATAGAATTATTAAGTAAGGTATGTAAATTTAAAGAGTTAAATATAAACTGACACAAAAATCAAAGCTGCTCTTTTAAATTAGGAAATAATAATTATTTTCAAAAATCCATGATAGAGGAAAATGAAATGAATACTAACAAGGACTAAAGAAAGATAGAAAAAACAGAAAGAGATGAGTATTGATAATATTTTTGACTTTATAGCCATACAATTTTTAATTGAGGCAAGAGACTTAAAGGATCTATTTATAGAAATATAGTTGCTGAGACTTCGATAGAAGAAGAGAAGGGATGGATCATCACAAAGTGAGTCAAAGAATCTAGAAATATTACTGAAATAAAAGACATTACGAAAAAGGTATGAATTTCACAGAGATAGTATTTATTCTATCTTTAAAAAAAATATCAGCTTAGAGTGCAACTTAGAAATATCAGAAAGATAATAACGAATATATAAGATAGTATGAAAACGAGAAAATAGAAAATCAGCACAACCAGAGAGAAATATAAGCCTTGGAGGCATGAGAAGATGAACTAACTCTTATAGGAGCTCCAAAGCTTATGAATGTTGTTAAATTAGAATTATTAAATATTGAAGAAGAGGTTTAAGAATAATAGGGCATTATACTGTGAAAATGTGATTTTGGACCTTATTAAGTGCTTCCTCTTTCAGATCTCATTTATTAAAAGAATGACAGAAAATTCCAGAAAAGAATAGGGAGCTGAAAAAGTGGAGAAAATAAATTAGGGAATATAATGATGACAATAACTTCTTCAATACATTCTGAAACAGAAGGGATAATGTATATTAATATTGTAATTGAATATATTATTAATGTCTATTTCCATAATAATTAAGAAATGGCCAATAATCAATTTAAACTATCACAAATTACAGCATTATTAATGAAAAACTAGTTTACGTAATGTGAGGAGACCACAATACTCAAAAAATAAGATTGATGAGATAGTAAGATATTAGATATTGAAAGAATGGAATGAAAGCTCTGATAATTTCATTTTAATGTCTATAATAGAATTACCAATAGTACTTAAGGATTAGAGAAAATGAAAACCAAAATTTAATAAAACTAAGGCTAAAGATTTTAAATAGTTTCTTTAGTTACTGATTTAAATCTTTAGATATTTTTGATAGTTCCAAGTATTATTTGCTAAAACTGAGATGAATTCTTTGGATTGTCAAGGAATTAGAAGATTCTTGATGAAATATGCAGTTGCTTAATGAATTAAGATGGAATGAACAGTCTCAAATCTAGAGATTTTTGCTAACATAATTGCATAACACTATAAGATACAGATTCTAATATACTCCAATACAGATACCTGAAAAATTTAACTATTGCATTGGTCTAAGAATCAAAAAGCCAAATGGCAAAAGATAAAGTAATCTTATATTATGGGTTTTCTGGTATTTTTGAAATATCTATTTACTTACAAAATAACAATATGTTATTCAATTTTGTCTGGATTTTTTATCTGGTTATTTATGAGACTGGGATAAGCTATTAGATATAACTCTAATCAATTCCTCCTTGTTTTGGTCATAAATTCCAAATTATCCTTAGAATTCCAGAAAATGTGTAGTCTTTAATAAGTTCCAAAATGGCAGAGAGATCTTAAGCAACTACTGGCTCTTCCTCAACTAGCCCAGGGCTTCCAGATCCTGCCTTACGGTTCTATATCTATCTATGTAGATGTAGGTTTCCAATTATTTGATGACTATAATTCCAATTTTTGGCGCCTTATATCTTGATATCAATTTGAAAAATTCAATTATGTATTAAAAAGAAATAATGAATAAAAGATTATTTGATTAAAATTCTATAATGATATTAAAAGAGCTATAAAATTATGGAATATCTCTATCAAAATATGTTATTAAGGAAATCTTTGATATTGACTTTTTAATTATAACTTAATTTAGAAATAATATCAAAGAGGAAAAGTTTGAATTCTAAAAATACAGATGATTGTTTATTTTGTATGTTTTGTATAACTTAAAAGATTGATTACAACTTTTCTAAATAAAAATTTAATAAAAGTTATATTATTTATTTAAATATATAATCCTAGTTTATAATATTGGGTTAATCCTAAAATAAATTATGATATTATGTTTTAATAATGATTTATCATTTGATTTGTTTGATTTTATAAAAGTTTAAATATTATAAACATCAAATATGATTACATGATTCTGTTATTTCCTTTGATAATATTACTAAATGTCTCTGTATAGTTTATTTCCAAGTTTAATTAGTAGACCTAACAAACCAAGAATCAAAAGTTAAATTTAACCAAAACCTATTAGAATTTTTAAATCATTTGTCAAATTGTGTTAAAAATCAGAAAAATAGACTGAACTTGTCATTTTATAATAAAAACAATTAATTTGATTAACAAAAGCATTACTAGAGCTTCCATCAAATTTACCCAATTAATTCTATCTTTGGAATATTTTATTTTATCATGAATAGGAATCCAATATATACTAAAATTAGCAAAGTTATCATAGTACATTAAAATATATCACTTTCTTGTATATCAATGAATATTAAGATAAATATTAGTTTTTTGAATTAGTAAATACATTATTCATTTCTGAGTATAGAAAAATCAAAATTTTTATTTAATCCTTTAAGATGCTAACATAACAATAATATGGACACAAATAAAACTAAAAAACAAATACAATAAGATATAATTGATCGATAACCTTGTTAAGTATTAGATATTATAAATAGAAGAACTTTAAAAAGTAAATCCCAAGAGTTCACATAAAATAACTGCTTAAATCCTTCTATAGTATATAGCTTTCTTAGATTGATAATTTTTTTATTTAATTTATAAAATTTAATTCCTAACTTTTCTAAAATTCTGGATTTACTTGAGCTAATAAAATATTAAATTTAGATGTAAAACAATAATTATTAAATTATCTTGGATAAAATAACTAAATTATATACAAGGAAACAATTAAACTAATTTAGGATATCTAGCTCTAGATATTTATGAATAGATTAGCATTAATTTAGTATTTTTAAAGTTTACCTATGCTTCAAATAAAATTATTTTAAATTACAGTATTAAAAACATCTTTTATTTTAAATGTTATTAGATTAAGATTAACTGTTACAATATCACATGAATTAAAATATAATTATAGAATTTAAGGGTAAACTACATTTACAAATTTTAAATATGATTTAAAGTGTAAAGTGCCAAAAATTTCTAAACTCTATAATGGATCTCCAAAGAATAACATTAGTACACTAATAGATCCTAAACCTATTATTAAGGCACTTCCAAGGTCTTAAAATTTATTTGCAACATTATATAAATCCTTACTTAATACTTTAGGTTGTTAAAGTAAAATTGTTTATTTAGAGAGATCTACTGCCATATTATTATTATCAGTTAAAGAGGAATCGAATGAAACTGATAAATTTGGTAAAAATGTAATCGACTCCAAATTTAATATATCAAATTTAAATATTGCCATGATAAACTAAGTTTCATAAATATTCACTACTAGATTTATAATTACTTAATATTAATCTTAACTTAATTGTATATCTCAATTAATATTAATTAAGTAAAATTGAATTTTTAAATCTATTTCATTTAATTTGTAAACTACAATTAAACATATTAATGATCATATATTTGATTTAAATAAATTAAAGAAAATTTAGTGATTAAATAACCAATATTAGGTTATTCCAAATTACAATCTCACATTTGCTTGAACAACCATCTTTTCTTTATTTCCATCATCACATTATTCTGTTTTAAATTGATTTCCATCACCAAATTATATTTTAATATCTTTATTCTAAATCATCATTTTATTAAATCAATATTTTTTAACATCCTTCTACTAATATTCATTTCCGTCTACACATTCTTAGCAGTTACCCTTAGAACAATTAATTTCACATTAAAACATAAATTAATAGCAACCATCATATTAAATATCATTAAAATCTTCACAATTTTCTAATCCTTACTCAATAATTTCGTCTCCACATATTGGTTTACATTTATTATACTCATCCATTTCAAAATTGATTTCACAAAATAAACCTAGATTAGAAGTAGAACATGAAAAACAATTTTGATCACATTCAAATTTAAAATTATAACATCTGTCATATGGATTATAACATCCATCATTGCATTATTTTTAAGAAGAAATAGCCAATTAACCATCTTCACATATTTGATAACATCTATTGTCTATCATTTGCCAGCCATCAATACAAATATAGCATGATTATTCTAAACATTATTTCCATTCTAATTAGCAACTTGATTAGCTTTTATAACAACCACCAAATTATATATTTATTTAGTTATCAAAAAAATTCATATAAAATCACAATATCGTCATTACATCTAGGAATACATTCTTTTTAATTCCAAGATTTTTGATAAAAAAGTTTCACATTCTAAACATCTATCATTTAATTCCACATTGATATCCAAATATATCATGTGTTTAAAAACTACAATTTTAATTATGAATTGGTAAAGGTTTAGAAAATTAATCATGTAATAATTTATGATAATATAATAGAAACTAATTTTCATAATTTAATTTTACAATTCTGCCCAAAATTATCATAATCTAAAAAATTAGAAATTTAACTAAAGAAATTGTCTTATTATTTAATCTAAATTTCCATTTATCATTTCACATTTATTATCAATTAAATTGTATATTGATTGGCATTCCAAACATTTACCAAATTCACATTACTTACAAGAAAATTTGCAATTAAAAAAACCATCATATTCTAGATAATTCCAATCAACATATTATTCAATATTTATAATTATTTAATCACCACAAATAGGTTCGCAAATTTATAATAAAATATCTAATACCCATCCTTTCTAACACTCAATACAAATACTTCTAATACAATTACTAAAACCTTGAACACAATCATATCTTCCTGAAAAACATCCATCAATAGGATCTTTATTTTAATCTAAACAATCTTCATAATAGTCTTATAGAATTATCACAAGAGAAAAGTCATTCAAATAAAATATCTAATCAGATATCCTTCAATCAAATAAGCCTATTTTGTTATCTTAATCGGTAATAAATCTTAATATTACAAAATATTTATCTCTCTTAAATTCAATGTATTACATATTGCCTCTGAAATATAATGAATTAATCAAATATTTGTTTTACTTAATTAGATGATTTTGAACTTAATTTAGTCTTTTCATATTTAATTTTTTTATCCACTTTAAGTACAATAGAGTTAAGGTCCCAATTTAAGAATCAAATCAAATAATTTTTATTTAAACATATTCATTAACATGATTAATATTAATATGTAGTGAATTTACATCATCACCCCAACAATAACTAGAAGTTCCACAAAAACTAGATTAAGTGAATTCTGAATTGTAATAATCCCTAAAAAAGAAGAGACTATCAAAAAATACTTCCATTCTATCAAATCCCCAATTATCAATACTAAGATCAATTATAATTTTACTGCAAGAATTTGAAATTTAATGATAGGGTATTATGAGGGAGCAAAAATAAATTCTTTGTTATCTATTTATTCCCTCCAAAATCAGGACGGACTCCAAAAAATATATGACGATCTGCAAATAGTGGAGACTCAATTTCCATTTTGGACTATCCAATCTAGGTAATATATCTTAAGAATTATACCATTTTAGTAATTGTAATTTCCAAATAAATTAGAATATACTAATGATTAGCCCTCAATCGATATATTCAGTAAATGTAAGAAAATTAATCTTATCAAGTTATTGAAAAGAGGTGAAGAATTGCTATACATAGTGATGATTTTCAACATTTCTAATTTTATATAATAAATAATAATATTGAGAAATGTATATGATTATTCATCCTGATTTTAACCTTAATATTTTTTTTTTTAAGATACTAATGTTTACAGCTTATGATCTATAGAAAGATATTTAAGTTGTTTACTTAAATTGTCAAATGACTAAATAATTGAATTGATTTTCATAATTCTTCCTAAGATAGTTATAATTATTCACTCATAAACTAATTCAAAAAATGAATTCTAAAAACTAATGAAAG